CAATGCAAAGATGGAATTTCAGATATAGAAGATAGGATATCAATTAGTGAGCAGGAAAAGAAAAATTTCCTAAAAATATTAAGGGATCATGAGAAATCAATCCAACAGCTGCTAGATGATGCAAAGAAGAATAATTTAAGACTAATCAGAGTCAATAAAGAAACAGCAGAGTGCAGACAATATAAAAACAACTGTTCGCAGCTGGGGATTTAGCTCAGTTGTTCTGCCGCCTGCCTTGCGCTAAGCACAAAGTCCCAAGTTCGATCCCTGGTACCAAAACAAACAAACAAACAACAAAACAACAACAACAACAACAACAAACTTCACAGAAGTAATGGCAGAAAACTTCCCAAGTAGCGGAAAACAATTTGACATATAGATAAGCGAGTCATATAGGACTCCAACTAGCCCTGATAAAAAAAAAATCTACACACAGGCATATACAATAGTTAAGATTCTAGACAGCCAATAGAAAAATAAATTCTACAAGCAGTCAGAGAAAGAAACAAATCACATACAAAGGAAAGCCTATCAGAATCACAGCAGAATCTCAACACAAACCCTCAAGGCAAGAAGAGCTTGGAGTGATGTATTTTAAGCCCTCAAGGAAAACAGCCTCCAACCCAGACTGATGTACCCTGCAAAACTATTTTTCAAAATTGATGGAGAAATAAGATACTTTCATGACAAAGAACACCTTAGAAACTTCATGAATACCAAACAAGCACTCCAAAAAAGTTTAAACAATATCCTGGGAAATAAAAAGGAGGATAACAACCCCAGGAAGCCCAGCACAATGAATCCATCTGGCATGATAAGAAATTAAATGAAAAAGGGAGAATCCAACAATAAGAAAAAGTCATGACAAGGATAAGCCAATACATATCAGTTATAAGCAAGTGTGTTAATGGCCTCAATTCACCAATCAAAAGAAATTAATTGGCAGAATGGGTCAAGAATCAAGAGCCAACAATATGCTGAATACAAGAAACACACTTAATTAAAAAAGAAACTCAGACTGAAAAGTTGAAGGGTAGAAAACAATACTCCATGTGACAGAAACCTGAAAAAAAGTTGGAATAGCTATCATCTTTGCAGATCATGTGGATTTCAAACCAACACTGATTAAGGGAGACAAAGAAGGACACTACATCCCTCTAAAGGTAACAATCCAAGTGGACGAGATGACAATCATAAATATATATGTATCAAACAGTGTGCCCAACTATCTAAAGCAAATACTAAAGGACATGAAAAATCAAATAAGCACTAACACAATAGTAATGGGGGAATCTCAATACCCCACTGTCACAAATAGATAGATCAACTAGACAGAAAATATATAACAAAATACTAGAACTCAACCAAACTCTTGAACAAATGAACTTAACGGATGTTTATAGTGTTCTACCCCACAAAATCAGAATGCACATTGTTTTCAGCTGCACATGGGTCATTTTCCAAAACAGACCACATACTCATTCACAGAACATGTCTAAAAAGTGCAAAGGAATGGAAGTGATCCTCTGTATATTATCAGACCATAATGCAATTAAACTGGAGATCAGTAGCAAGATCTTCACAGTAGCAAGATTGTAAGAACTTCACAAACACATGGAAAATGAACAACACACTCCTGAATAACCAATGGGTCACAGAGGATATTAAAGAAGAAATCAGACAGTTCCTACAATTAAATGATGATTACAACACAACTTATTGGAATCTATGGGACACAATGAAAGCAGTCTTACAGGGGAAACTCTTAACACTGAATATGCATATTAGGAAAATAAAGCAACCTCAAATAAACAACCTGATGCTGAACCTCAAGCTTCTAGAAAAAGAATAGCAGGACAAACCCAAAACTGATACAAAAGAGGAAATTATAAAGATCAGAGCAGAAATCAATGCAATGGAGACTAAAAGAACAATACAAAAAAAATCAATGAAGCCCATAAAGTTTCAGAAGTTAAAAAAAAAAAAAATCAGAGACCTCTACCTGAAAACTATAGCACTGTGAAAAAAGAGACTGATGAGGATATCAGAAAATGGAAAGACATCCCTTGCTCCTGAGTAGGAAGAAACAACATAGTGAAAATGGCCATACTTCCAAAACTGCTATACAGATTCAATGCAATCCCAATTGAAATCCCAGCAGCACACTTCACAGAGCTTGAGAAAACAATCCAAAGATTCATTTGGAACAAGAAGAGACCTAGACCACCAAAGGCAATTTCAGGCAATAAAGAGAAGTTAGGGGATATCACAATCCCCAACTTAAAACTATACTACAAAGCTACTGTGATAAAAACAGCATGGTACCAGCAAAGAAACAGACCTGAGGACTAATGGAACACATTAGAAGATGCAGAGGGGAGGGGAGGAGGGGGTGAAGGGAGGGCAGAGGTAAGGGGAAAAAATGAGAATCAAGACTTGTCATGTAGAGGTACAAGATCCCAACAATGAATGTAACTGTACTGTATCCCTAAAATGTACCAATAAACTCAATTAAAGCTGAAAAAAAATGCAGAAACAACTCCAGACACACTCAGCCACCTCATCTTCAAAAAAGGAGCCAAACACCCTCACTGGAGAAAAGATAGCCTAGTTTCAATTTGCCAAAGATTAAAATTAGACCTATGTCTCTCACCATGCACTAAACTAAAATCAAAATGGATTAAAGATCTAAATATGAAAACAGAAACACTAAACCGGCTGGAAGAGAGGTTAGGTAGAACTCTTGAAGACACTGGTGTAGGAAAAGATTTTATGAACAAAATCTCAATTGCCTGTGAGCTAACACAAACAATCAACAAGTGGGATGTCTTCTTATTAAAAAGTTTCTGCCCAGCAAGAGAAATAATCAACAGTGTGAAGAGATAACCCATAATCTGGGAAAAATTTTTCACCATCTGTTCCTCAGACAAAGGTCTACTATTAAGAATATACAAAGAACTTTAAAAAATCAGACCTCCCAAATTTAAAGACCCAATCCAAAAATGGGCATCTGAAATGAACAGGCATTTCTCAGACAAAGAAGTAGTAATAGCAAATAAACATATGAAAAAATGTTCAACATCACTGATCATTCAAGAAACACAAATGAAAACAATGCTGAGATTCCATCTCACCCCAGAAAGAATGGCTGCTATCATGAAATCAAACAATAACAAATGCTGATGGGGCTGTGGGGAAAGAGGAACACAGCTCCACTGCTGGTGGGAGTGCAACCACTGTGGAAAACAGTACAGAGATACCTCAAAGAACTAGGATTGCAAGTCCCATTTGACCCAGCTATTTCATTGCTGGGTATCTTCCCTAATGAATTAAAAAAATCATACCATACCAATATATGTGCACCCATGTTCATAGCACAATTTGTAATAGCTAAAACTTGGAAGCAGCCCACTGCCCATCAATGGGAGACTAATAAAAAAAATGTGTTTTTTAAAAAAATACTACTCAGCCATAAAAAATGAGAAATTAGCAACATTTATAGCTAAATGGATGCACACTGAGGTGATACTCTTAAGTGATATTAATAAGACACACACATGCAAATACCAAATAGTTTCTGTGTGAGAAACTGAAAGTGCAAATAAGGACTAAAAGGTATAATAGGTAATGTGAAATAGGAAGAAAAGGGACAAAGAGGAAGGGGAAACAGGAGGGGTAGGGAAAAGGAAAGAAGGGAATAGAATTTATACGAGAAAATGAAAAAAAATGGAAATAAGGTCTTTGTAGTTAGGGAGAGAGGGAGTAGTTAAAGGGAGGGCAGGGGAATGAGGGAAAAAATAAGAACCAAGGTTGATTATGTAAAGGTACAAATTTCAAACAAAAAAATGACATTATATTGTATACATTAAATGTACCAATAAAAATTTTTAAAAAATTTTTGTAAATGTAAAACTGATGGTTTAAATCTGAGAGAAAGTATTTCTAGTATTACCAAACTGAATCTGTACCCCAAGGTCAAAAACGATACCCTAAGAATCTGTGGTTGTTTCTCATTAAAAATTAAAAAGAGCAAAATGCTTTTTTAAAGCATTGTTTCTACCTTCTAATTTTTGTTCAAGTTATTATCATCTTATAATAAATTCTGAGAATAATTATCAAGGCTTAAAAGATAGGAAAATTACATCTCATGTTACTAAAATATATATGTATTTAAGAGTATAACATAGAATAACATAAGATCAAGATTGGCAAAGCATGAGAAACGGGGAGGTTTCAGGACTCCCTGTACAGTATGGTTACTTCTGCACTAATTCACAGTAAGAGATCTACTCATCCAATCAGCATCATCCTACTGTCTATAATTCATTCAATCACCCAATTACAACGTAGGTGTTTAAAAATTCCGAAATCAAGGCCGGGGACTTAGCTCAGTGACACCACGCCTGCCTCACAAGTGTAAGGTACTAAATTCAATCTCTGGTACTAAAAAAATTAAATTAAATTTAAAAATTAAAAATAAAAATTTCAAAATGAACATTATTTCACTAATTTGTCATTTCTAATGTTTACAACATATTAATTAGTGTGTCCCACTTGTATTCTTACGCCCTCCTTTGAAGTAGACTTTTTTTGAGCTTCAAATGAAATTTATAATATAAAGTATATAAATGAAATCTTTATTTTAAAATATTTTTATAACTTTTTTTTTAAGTAGGAAAAAGGAAAGCTGCAGGTTGGACATTCCCAAAGCATAGACAAGAATATCCACTAAATTTATCTTTAATTTGTCTTTTATATATTCCTATTATTGTCCAGTTACTAAATGTTTCTTTTGAAAAAATGCATAAGGAAGCTGAATATTTGCCATTGAAAGCCAACTACCAGCATCTTATTTTCATAAAAAAAATACAGAGGAAATCTACTTACCAGTATGTATAAAATAGATGTTATGATGTAAAGTTATATCTGCTATTATGAGTAATCTTATAATTAAAGTCCAGAATTTGACCGTATAAAAATAAGTAGGCTTTTTTACTTACCTGAAGTAAAGTCCTTACAGTGTTGTAAGTATTCCATGGCCCCATGAATCTGACCCTGTTTACACAGGCATAGAAGAGCTTTCTTATGCAGGCCACATTTGCTGTAGATAATTTGAGCTAAAGCTAAACACTTGTCCTTGTTAAAAGTGTCCTTCTCCCCATAATCACTAATCACATCACCAGCCTCCTCAGAAAATGTTAGCCTAGAGCAAGAGGATCGATAAGGCACACATTAGAGAACTTTTGATGACTGGCTAATGCTGAAATATTTGAAAATCCAATACAGTGGAACTGGATTTTCTATAGCCTATAAGAATTCCAGATCAATAGGCAATAGATGATGTAGTAGAAATTAAATATATCTGAGACTTAACAACAAAAATAATCAGCATATATTCCTTTGGGGGAAGACATTTTGGTGAAACTAAGACCAAGTTTTTTTTAAAAAAACCTATAAATAAGGTTAAAAATTCCCTGAAAGGACTAGTGAGATTTAAAATTGCAAGGTAAACAAAAATTATGTTATAATTGGAGGTCTCAATATTCTCAGAAATTATCTGGAGTATACCTAGGTTCTAAACCCTATAGAATGTAAGAAACTATTAAATGTTTTTAAAGATAGTGAGAACCATTTCACCCCATAATTAGTGAGAGATTTTATAGAGATTTTAATTTGTATTAAAAGGAAGATAAAGTGTGACAGCACTGTTTTTAAAAATTTTTAAATAGATTTATAAAAAGCAACAGGAGAAAAGGATGTAACTGTGCTTACTAAGGGAGACTAAAAGAAGCAGTTATTTTAAGATAACTCGGCCGAAAAAAGCTGGTGTGGTGGTGCACACATGTCATCCCAGCACTCAGGAGGCTGAAGCAGGAGGACTGCCATGAGTTTGAGGCCAGCATGGGCTACAAAATGAGTTCAAGGCCTCCTGAACTACACAGCGAGACCCTGTCTCAGTGCAAACAATAAACAAAAACAAACAAACAAGACAGTTCGGTTGAATAGATTTCATTTGTCATAAGTTTTTTCCCCCAGTGCTAGGAGTGGAACCAAGGGGCTCATGTATGCTAGGCAAGAGCTTTACAACTGAGCTACATCAGCCTCATTTGTGATGGTATTTTAATATTCCATCTTCATACACAATTGAAGTGAACCATCTGTGCCATCACAGTAACTCCACCTAGAAACTACCAGCATGCGCCAAAAGAACAGCTGGGTATGATTAAAAATTTCACTCCTAATTATTGGTTATATGGAAATTGAGCTTTAGTTGTATTTTTAATTAATGGCTACAAAAATAACTTTGAAGTCTGTATACACTGAACTAACTGCTGATAACACTAAAATGAAATCCTGAAACCTCTACAAAATATCCCTATTCAAAATTCAGAAAATAAAGCACTCTGTGTTTATCAGGGTGGGAAGCAGAACAGTGGGTCTAAAATCAGAAGGCAGTTTGAGTAAAAATCAATGATCTGTTAAGCAATTCCTTGATTTCCACACTTACATACCAAAATACATGTTTTAATAAATATAATCATATTATTTCCTAAAGAAGGACAAGTAAATTAGAGTCAATATTGTGGCTGGAATACCAGGAAAAATGAATAATTTCAGCATTTTTTTAAAATTTCAGTATTCTATATTAATACCACTGTATTTTAGTACATTGCGTGCATTTAGTACATAGTGACTGGTGTAGTTTAGTATTAATACCATTATTAATATCTCTTCTTAATACTATTACTAATTAACCTCTTTTTAATACCATTATTTTATTTTTCAAATGGTCACCACTATGATGTTGCTACCTCTGTAACAATGCAGGGCTGGAAAATGGACCTAGGGACTTCCCTCTCCTTCTCCACTCCCAAACACCTCATCATATTCTGTTTGCCTAAAGTTCTCTTGTGTTCACTGCTCACAGTCCAACTAACAACTCTAAGAGGGGTCTTTCAGGAACTTCTAAAAGTAGATCTATGAGCAAGTCCTCTCAGAGAGAGGACTAGTGTCTAGACTATACAGAGACCTTATACAGATAAAAACTCCCCAAAATAAAAGATGCCATCAAAAGATGGGCAACTGAAATGAATAAACATTTCTCAGAAGTACAAATGACCAAGGAAAAAAAATGGACAATGACATGAGAAAATGTTCAACATGGTTGGCTATCAGAGAGGTGAAAATTAAAACAACACTGAGAAGGGCTGGGGATTTAGCTCAGTGGTTCGGTGGCCTGCCTTGCAAGCACAAGGACTTGAGTTCAATCCCCGGCACCCCCCCAAAAAAAAACAACACTGAGATACCACCTTACTCCAGAAAGAATAGCTATTATCAAGAAATCAAATAACAAATGCTGGTGAGGCTAAAGGGAAAGAAACCTTTCTACGTTGTTGGTGGGAATGTAAACTGTTGCAACCACTACGGAAATCAATGTGGACATTCCTCAAAAAACTAAAACTAGGAATACCATTTGACCCAGCTATTCCCCATGTAGGTATCTTCCTTAAAGAGTTAAAGACATCATATTACAATGATACAACATACCCATGTTAATTGCAGCACAATTCATATAGCTAAATCTTGGAAGTGGCCTGTACATCCATCAAAAGATAACAGACGAAAATATGATTTTTATATACAATGCAATACTATAAAGAAAGATAGACTTGAGTCATTTGCAGGAAAATGGATACACCTTAAGACTATAATATTAAGTGAAACAGGGCTGGGGATTTAGCTCAGTGGTTCGGTGGCCTGCCTTGCAAGAGCAAGGACCCGAGTTCAAAGTGGCCTGTACATCCATCAAAAGATAACAGACGAAAATATGATTTTTATATACAATGCAATACTATAAAGAAAGATAGACTTGAGTCATTTGCAGGAAAATGGATACACCTTAAGACTATAATATTAAGTGAAACAGGGCTGGGGATTTAGCTCAGTGGTTCGGTGGCCTGCCTTGCAAGAGCAAGGACCCGAGTTCAATCCCCGGTGTCCCAATTAAGTGAAACTAATCAGACACAGAAACTTAAATACCACATGATTTCTCTTATATGAGAAACTCAAAATATAAATAAAGAGCAAAATAAAAGACAGATAAAAGGAAGTAGGGAGATATTTTATTCAAATGCAAAAGGGATTAAGTGATAGAGGGAAGGGAACAAGAGGAGGGAAAGGAAATTAAAAAGAATTAAGATATATTATGTGAATGTACCAATTCCTCAAAAGTAATGTAATTATTATGTGATGCAAACATGTACTAATAAAAATAAAAATGAAAAAATAAAGTTTTTTATAAGCTCATCAAATGGTATACCTTACTTATGCTTATTGTATAAATTATACCTCAATAAAATTGTAAAAACCAAATTACAGACCTAAGACCAACTGTAGTAGCAGAAGCTCTGATTTTTTCCTCTGACCCTCTTATAAGTCTTCCAAGAATTACAATTACACAACCCAGAAAAGTTGCACCTAGATGGAGCAAACTTAATATGAAAAACAAACAGAACTATGTTGTGCACATGGATTGACTGGGATAGATACCCCATCTAAACCCTCCATACTGGGCCAGGGTACCCTTTTCAGCTGCTCTGGGTGTTGGCTGCCAGTGACTCATAGGTACCTCCTGCGAGAGCATACTGTTGTTGTCCCTGGGAATCTATGTGCTCCCACCTCCTCTAGGTAGCCCACAGCCCTTGGCAATCTGATAAATAAGGACAAAAGGCCAGTCCCCTGCCTCAAGGGAGTACAGCTCTGTAGTACGGTTTATGCTCCAGAGCCATGCTTTATAAAGTAGGCCAAGCCGACTTTGTCAGAGGCCACAATGTCACTTCTCTATACTGCATCACTCAATCCTTAATAGGTATTTCCTGAGAAGCTCTCTTTATCAAACTGTGCACCAAAATTCCTGTCTCAAGCTTTGGTTCTAGGAACCTAACCTATAAGAGCTAGCACAAATCTGCCAATCTGTATTGAAATGGAGCTCCAAGAAGCCACCTCCTGTCTATCCTTGTTGATTTATGTGTTTTAAATGTTACCTTGGTCCATGTTCTTCCAGCTTATATATCTCCTGGATTTATCTTTTGTCTTTTCTACGTATTCCACAGCATGTCTGGAACCAGGTTCCTGTCGTTCCCTCCAAAGCAGTGTGATACTTATGCTCCTTCTCCCTCCTTATCATCCAACTTCCATTTACCATGAAGTCATCAAGAATCATTTTGTGAACTACTGTGAATCAACTCTTCTGGTCTCATTGTGACTGATCCTCACTACTCGATGAACCCTTCATAAATACTTCCTAACTAATTAATTGCCATAAGGTCCTAAAACACATGCTTAAATAGTGTGTTGATAAGAAAACTGTTATATTTTTGAGAACTGTATTAACCAGATATGAAAATGGAGTAAAAGTTGAATTTTGCTTACTTTTCTTGGGTGACCCAGTTGATAACTAAATCAAACCTTTTTTCAGACAATCCACATTTGATTCCTTCCAAAGTTAGATATGCATCAACAGGATATCTAAAAGCATGACTTGTGCTAAATATAGCCTCAAAAAATAAGAGTAATGGAAGAGGCTTTCCTCTTATTTTCCCAAGAGCTATAAAAGAAGAAAGGTTTTGAGTTAGATACCTTAAGAAATAGTTTTCTTTTTCTAATTTCAGATTACTATTTTCATCTCTTTGTATTTTCTAAAACTTTAAAGTATTTATAGATTAAACTTCACACTTTGGATATTAACTGAATAGCATTATCCATGTCATGTGAAGACGGAGGTAGACATTAAAGTAATTTGTCTATAAACCAAGAGATGCCAAAAATTCCTGATAGACAACAGAAGCTAGGAGACCTCTTCAAGATCCTGCAGGAGGTAACAAACCTTTTGACACCTTGATTTCAGACTTCTGGCTTCCTGAACTATGAAAAAATAAATTTATTTTCTAAGTCAGAGGTGTGTCCCATTAACAGTGTAAATCTGCCATGATCAAAGAAAAAATAGGACTTGAAAACAAAAGATGCAGTTGCAAATACATTAAGGATAAATTCCTCAGGCAAACTATATTGCTCTATGACCACTCAAACTAGATATTCAGAGCAGCATATTTATTCAGACACACCCTGTGTAGAACAGACTGTGCCCTGCTGTGAGTTACTCCATGCTATACAGAAGCATAGCTTTTAGGCTGTGCTTTGCCCCCAGTGACTCCATCTCATAACAGCAGTTTGCTTCATTTTGAGTGCAAGCGCTGAGGGAGAATAACTTGTCAGCTTGTCTGTGCAGATAGATGGCCACCAGATGTTGGATATATCAAGCTAATTTTAAAAAACCCAAAACAAAACAAAATGCCTCCTACCTAAACAGCACAATCATAAAAGATAAACCAACAAATCAATTAACATGATAATAAAAAATAGCACTTGTAAACTCAACAAATTAAATCAGAGGAACATGGACACAGGACATCAAAGTTATATTGGAGAGGGCCAGGGATTTAACTCAGTGGTTCCAACACCTGCCTCGCAAGGGCAAGGTTCTAAGTTTGATCCTATGAGATAATAGGTCAACATGTGTCATCACCATGCCCCCCCTTTTTTTACATGATTCTGGGCTTGTTTTTCTCTGATATATATATCAGAGAATATATATATATATATATATATATATTCTCTGATATATATATCAGAGAAAAACAAGCCCAGAATCATGTAAAAAAAGGGGGGGCATGGTGATGACACATGTTGACCTATTATCTCATCAGACCACATGGTGACTGCATCCTGAGATTAACAGGTGACAAACTCCAGTTCTTCTGCCCTACAGTTTCACCTTACCTTGGTCTCCCTTCTTGATGCAGTGCACTCAAAGTGTTTGCTGTCCAGACTTGGACTTTGAATCAACTCTGTAATTTCTGGTTTTTTTTGGCACTGGGGATCAAACTCAGGACCTTGCACTTACCAGGCAGGCATGGAGCCACTGCACTACATCCCCAGCCCAACTCTGCAATTTCAACAAGCCCATACTTCAAACAAGCTCTGCCTTAGGCATAGGTGGCCTGATCTGAATTGGTTACCTATGGTGACTTTTCAGATCTCTGGGCTTTCTGCCTTTACTTTTAGTTCTGCCTCCTGAAATCCTGCAGCTGTTGTTAACCCTTTCTTAGATGTTCAGTAACTTGTATATTACTGTGCAAAGTGTGGAGTGTAACTTGAGGGCCATAGATTTTAGCAACGAAGATAATAAAAGAACCTATGATTTCTGGGCACAGTGGCTCATATCTGTAATCCCAGCACTCAAGAGACTGATAAAGGAGAATCCAATAGGAGTTCAAAGCCAGCCTGAACTACATAGTAAGACCTTGTCTCAAAAAATTTATCAATCAAACAAACTATGACTGACTGGCTTATTGGCTATAGAGTGAAATTTTGAGTACTCAGCCAGACAAAGATGATAAAATTTATGTAGCTTATGAATGTATTATTATTCAATAAAGTTTGACATTGTGGAAAGACACAAACGTGTTCAATATTTGTTAATGGCTAGGTCACGTATGACACACCCTAACTTTGAAAATAATTCAGTGAGAATGACAAACTGGGATCTTGAAATTTATATGTAGGCTTGCCAATGACCAAACAGGGTATCTCAACCTCATATTAGCATCACTAAAATATCAGCATGACAATTCATTTTAAAATTTAAATTGTATATGCAACCAATGAATTTGAATTCTTAATTCATCAAATTATTTTTCCTTAGTAAACCAAAATATTCTATTTCCCAGATTTTTATTTCATGTCCCTTTTCAGGGAAGATCTAACACTAGTACTCCTCAAGATCTCTAATGAAACTGAAAGGGATGCAGAACTCCCAAAGTCATTCCTGAAAGCTAGCATTACTACTCAGATTCCAAAACCAGACAAAGAGATCTACAGGCCAATATTTTTAATGAATTTAGTTGCAAAAATCCTCAACACAATGCTGGCAAACAAAATGCAACCAATCATGCAAAAGAATGAAACTGGACTCCTATACCTCACACCATATATAAAAACTAACTCAAAGTAAATCATAGGTCTAAATACATAAAACCTCTTGGAGGAAAATGAAGGGGTAGATCTTTGTGACCTTATGTTAGGCAGAGATTTCCTAACTCTAACACCAAAAGCACACTCATAAAAGATAATATTGGTATATTAGTCTGTTTTCTATTATTATTATAATAAAATACCCAAGGCTGGATATTTTACAAAGACAAGAAATTCATGTAGAGCTCACAGTTCTGGAGGTTCAAAGGCATGGGACCATCTCAGCTATGGGACCTACAGTGAGAACTTCACAGACAGCAAAAAAATCACAAAGCAGGAATACATGTAAGATGCAAATATCACATGGTAAGACAAGAAGGCAGAGAGATGGGGAGAGGCCACGCTGGTTCTTTAATATCAACCAATCAAAAGAACAACTAACTCACTCTGTGAGATCAGCATCCATTCCTCCTTAGTGAGTATCCCAGTGACCAAGGGATCTCCCACTAGGCCTCATGTGCAAATGTCTGCTCACCTCTTAATATCGCCACAGTGGGTACCAAACTTCCACCACACTAAACCTTGGGAAATATTCTTCAACTATATCTACACCATGGCAATCAGTGAGTTGGACTTCATGAAAATTAAAAACTTTTTATGTATTTATTGAGACAAGGTTTCTCTATGTAGTTCAGATTGGCCTTGAATTCACTACGTGGCCCAGGCTGGCCTCAAATTCATGCTGATCCTCCTGCCTCAGCCACCCCAAGTGCTATGATTATAGGCATGTGACACCATGCCTGGCCAAAACTTTTGATTAAAAATTCCATAAAGAAAATAAAAAGACAACCTACAGACAGGAAGAAAATATTTGCAAAATCTGATAAGACTTTTCATTTTGGAGACAATCTCACTTCCTGCTTCAGCTTCCAAAAGTCTGTGATTATAGGCAAGTACTACCATGCCCAGCTGATACAGAATTTTTATTTAGAACAAATAAAGAACTCTTGCAATTCAATAACATAACAAAAATAAAGAATACACTTTTCTCCAAAGAAGAAATATAAATGGTCAATAAGCACATAAAAAGATGTTCAACATTTTGAAGTCAGTAGGGATATGCAAATGAAAAGCTTAATGAGAGCCAGGCATGGTGGCACATGCCTGTAATCCCAGCCCTGGGAAGGCTGAGGCAGGAGGATCACCATAAATTTGAGGCCATCTTGGGCTACATAGTGAGTTCAAGGTCAACCTGGACTACGAAAGGAAACCCTGCCTCAAAAACAAACACACACACACACACACACACACACACACACACACAAACAGACAATAACAAGTTTTGATAAGGATGTAAAACTATTGGAACCCTTTACACTTTTTCTTTTCTTTTTTTGTTCCCTCCCTCCCTCTCTCCGTCCCTCCCTTCATTGCTCCCTTCCTTCTTTCCTTCCTCCCTGGGTTACTGCGGATTGAACCTAGGACCTCTGCACTGAGCTATATCCCCAGCTCTCCCCCTTTTTTAAATTTTGAGACAGGGTCTCGCTAAGTCACTGAACTGCCTAGTTTGAAAAAATAAATAAATAAACTGCCTAGTTTGGATTTGTACTTTCAGTTCTCCTGTGTCAGCCTCCTAACGTGCTAAGATTATAGGTGTGGACCACCACACCAGGCTCCTTATACATTACTGATGGGAATGGAAAATGGTGCAACCAAATGTTTAGCAGTTTCTAAATTGTTACACAGAGTTACCAAGAAACCCAGCAATTGTGCTGGGGATTTAGCTCAGTGGTCCCACCACCTGCCTCGCAAGTACAAGGTCACAAGTTCAATCTCTCATATGAGAGAAAAAAAAAAAAGAAACCCAGCAATTTAACCCTAGGTATCTATTTAGGAGAATTAAAAATATATCCCTATAAAAACTTGCACACAAATATTCATACAACCATTATTCATAATATCTGAAAAGTGGAGAAAACCATCAACTGATGAATGGATAAACGAAATGTATTTTCATATAACAGAATGTTATCTGGCCATAAAAAGGAATGAACTACTGGTACTTCTGCAACATAACGAATCTCAAAAACATTATGCTAAGTGACAAAAGACAGTAAAAAAAATTACATATTGTATGGTCTTATTTACATGAAAAGTTCAGAATAGAAAAACCTATATCAGTAGGAAGCATACTGGTGGTTGCCTAGGGATTGGAGAGAGTTCAGCGACTAAGGAGTGAGAAATTAATGGGCATAAGGTACGATTAATGAGTACACTTTAAAAAATGATAAGCATATTCTAAAATTAGATTACGAGGATGGGTTTGCATCCCTATAATTACAGTAAAATCACTGAATTTTGTAGTTTCCCGCATGAAGACAATACATTATCTTTCTATGATAAGAACAAAAACCCACATAATCAACTCAATAAATCTAGAAAAAAACATTTCACAAATTTAATATCCATTCCTGATCCAAGTCTCATCAACCATGAATACGAGGGAATTTTTCTAACTTCAGAAAGGACACCTGTGGAAACCTACAGTTAATATACTTAATAACGAATGTCTAAATGCTTTATCCCTAAGATCAAGAACAAGATAGAGATATCCATTCTCACAACTTGTATTTAAAACTGTAATGGAGGATTGATCTGGATAGCACAAGAAAAAAAGAAAAAGAAATAGGCATTTAGACTGAAAATTAGAACTGTCTCTACTGTAGATGATATGATCATCCATTTACAGCATTGTAAGAAGGCATCAGAATAAATTATTTTAGCAAATTCAAAAGATACAAGACTAGTATATAAAATTCAATTGTATTTTTTAACTTAAAAAATTATTCAAAGAGTGATCAAAGTATATAGTGAATCTTTAAATTTTCAAGTATTACAATAAAAGACACATTACCATTAATCCTCCTCAAAATCCTACCCCCTTGCTCCAAACAAACCTATCCTGTCATTCTTTGGTGGGGGCAGTTTTGAGACAGGGTCTCACTATGTAGTTCAGGCCTCAAACTCATATGCCACCATATCTGGCCAGTAATCCCATCGTTCTTGTCACTTTTCAAAGCAGTTCTGAAGACCTCTTTCATGTGGATTCAAGTCCAGTCTGGGCAACACAGAGAAACTCTCCATCTCAAAACACAAAACAAGTGCTGGGGACATAACTCAGGGTACAGCCCTTGCCTAGTATGTATATGGACCTGGGTTCAACCTCCATCATTGCAATAATGATGATGATGATGGTGATGAAATAAATAAATAAATACATACATACATACATACATACATACATACATACATTGTCCTGGGATGACAGGATAACTATAGGGCAAAACAAAACACCTTAGCATATATCAAAAACTAATTCAAAGTGGATTATAGGCCTAAGTGAAAACTATAACATTCTTATTAAAAAAAGGAAAACTTTTTTATGGATTTGGCATAGATTTCTTAGGTATGACACTAAAATCATGATCCATGAAAAAAAAATTTTCACAAATTGTACATCAAAAAAAATTAAAAACTTTTAGTCTTAGATAAAGACATTCTTGAGAGAATGAAAAGAGAAAATATTGGCAAATCATGTAGCTGATAAAGGATTATATTCATTCAATGGAATACTATTCATCAGTAAAAGAAATCAATTATTGATAGATCCATCAATACAAATTTCAAAATGTTTATGCTTAAGAGTAATAAGTCAAAAAAGAATATCCTACTGTATGGCTGGAATTATATAAAATTATAGAAAGTGCAAACTAACCTGTGGTTACTCTATGAAAGGAGACTAGTGGTGGCCTGCAGACTGGAGGAGAGGCTGTGAAGAGATGGGTAAGAGAAGTAGGAAGCAGTGGGAAGAGAATTACTGAGGAGGATGAGGGAACTTTTGGGTGATGATGTCGTAGGATACATACATGTGTCAAAACTTACTGTATGTTTACAGTATATTTAGGTATGTACAGTCTATTGTATATTTGTCAATTTACCACAAGAAAGTTGATTTTCCAAAGGATCTGGAGCAAATATGACAAAACATTAACTAGTCTTTTTTTCTTTCTTTCTTTCTTTTTTTTTTTTGAGATAGGGGCTCACGACATAGCCCAGGCTGCACTTGAACTCACAATTCTCCTACTCAGCCCCAGGAGTGCAGGGATTACAAGTGTGCATCACCACACATCTGATATAACATTTACTAAATCTTCATCATGAATTCATGAGGATAAACATCTTTCTCCATGCTTTTCATACACTCAAAATGTTTCCTTAACTTAATTTAGAAAAATCTAATCAAATCTTGTCATGCTACAGATAAGGAATCAGTAAGTGGCACAAATAGGACTGTATCCTAGATTGTCAGCCCCTCAGTTAATATTCTTTCCATTCTGTCAAGGGGAAAAAGTATAATTTACAATATATAAGGTTCAAAGAGAAAGACTTACCCTTAAATTTATTCATTATATTCATGTTTCGAAGAATTCTTTTAGGACTATTTGCTGCAAAACAAGCTGCCTTTTCATATTCACCAAGTGCGATTAATTCATTGAACCTATAACCATTGCATTTTATAATGCATTATAATGGTATGCACAAAAAAGAAATAACACTGATTAGAAATATGTAATACAAATTAAATAGTGGCATAATATAGAAAACCAAAAAGCAATCCTGCCGGGTGTGGTGGCTCACACCTGTAATCCCAGCACTCGGGAGGCTGAGGCAGGAGGATTGCTATGAGTTCGAGACCAGCCTGGGCTACATAGTGAGTTCCAGGGCAATCTGAACTACATAGGGAGACCTATCTCAAAAAAACCAAGGAAAAACAAAGCAATCCGAATAAACCATAACTAGATTCATTCATGGTGTAAGATGTTCATTCAAATCTTTAATATTCTGGGATGGGGTTGTTTTGTGTTAGCATATACTCTCACTTTCCAGCTGATTTTGAACCTCTTATTTTTTATTCCTAGAGTAGTACTTAAAGAAAGTCATAGAGAATGGAAAGTAAGAACTTGAAGTCAATTTACAGTGAGCTCAGAATTTGCTCTATATTATCTCAAGATGAAAAGGCATATGGGGGGAGGAGCAATTTGCTTAGAAACTCATCCTAGAAGTTTTGTTGTTGTTGTTGTTGTTGTTGTTGTTGTTGTTGTTGTTGTTGTTGTTGTTTGGTACTGGAACCACTGAGCTAAATCCCCAGCTCTAGAAAAAATAATTGAATGTAAAGTCAGCCAAAGTAGAGATCAAGAGGTGACCTACATAGCCTATGTTGCCTTGCCAGGCATCAGACTTCCAATTAACTAACAGACTAACACAAGGAGAATCACAGTTCAGTAACTTAAGCCTCTGCTCCTCTTCCTATTGAAAGGTCTTCAATACAGCTCTGACCTCACAATTAATAAATCTATGGCAAACAAGATTTACAAAGCATTACAAATGAATGTAGAACACGTGAAGGAGCAGGAACCACTAACATAATATCAAGCAAAATATATAAAACCTTCCATCTCAACAAGGGTTGTGTTATATCAAAGTTGATAGAGTATAAGGAAACAATGCCAGCTCTGGTGCCCACTTAAAATTATCTTTACTCACTTCTGCAGTGAGTAATCATAACAAAAAGCAAATAGGCAAGGAAAAACTGTTTCAACATGTAAAACTAGGGATTTTAGAGATTTAAAATAGTAAAAGCTGGCAGCAAAGAGCCTCTCCAGGCTGGAATCAAGACATCTGGAAAATGATAAAAAGAAAAAGCAGCCAAAGGAATCAAGAAAGTGCTGAAAGGAAAACCAGAAACCATAAAGAAACTGGAGAAAGTGAAGACAATTCAGAGGAAAGAATGAAGCAGTCAAGAATGTAACCCTGGCTCCCTCAGAAGAGCCCTTCTCTGCAAACACAAGGTAAGCCCAGGTAGGGTTGTCAACCCCAGGGCGACACAATGGAGTGAGTAGCCCTAAGAAAAGCCCATGGTTACTGCAAGCTGCAAATACAGTGTGGGATTTTACTCTGAAAGTGACTCCTTCCACATGGCAGGCTGGAATTACAGAAGAAATTCACTGCAGCATCGGCCACATTTGGAAGTGATATAATCAGAAGCCATTTTGGGAAAGAATGTATTGAATAAGAGGCAGCTACTCCAAGAATCAGAAGGCACAGAACAACTACACGTCAAGGTCTCTGGGTTCACCCTACCACGGTGACTGGGTGGGAGATAGCCACAAGAAACAGACTCAAAGGTGATGGGATAGTCACAGATCCCTTCAGACGTTTAAGCAGCAGCAAGCTCAGTTGTGAAGGACACGTGATTTTCTGAGGGGCTGGATATGAAAGTGCTGACAGTTAAGTCACACAGACTGCTTGGCCCCTTTCATTGCTTACTTTCAGCACAAAGCTTTCCCCATCTGCCAACATCATCAGGGTACACCTTGGCTTGGACAACTGCTACATCCTGGCAACTGTATAAACAGAGGGGCCTCTGGTGCAAGGGAGGGACCTCAAGAGCTCACAGGCCATAAAGCTAGTTGGAGATAGTAGGGATTTTCTATTACTTTTACCTAATCCTATTAACTTTCTTTTATGCTTTAGTTGAATTGTCTCTTCTCTCCTCATCCTCCTTTTCTTTCTTTTTCAAATATTATGTCTTTCATTTTTCTTTTCCCCATCCCCTCCATTTTTACTATTAGTACTAGTAAGCTTCTATTAATATTTAACTATTTGGATGACTCCATACTATTATTAGAGAATTTTTTCCTATTGTTATTGGTGGTATAGTGGTTACTTTTAGTAGCTATTTATTGTATGTCAATATTGTTTGATTTGTCTTCGTATCTATTATTATTGTAATTTTTTCTAAATTGTTAAGGATGGTATTGTTGCAGCTTTGTTGAATCTTACTATGTTTCAATGACTGCAAAAACAAGGTAAGGCCAGAAACTGTTGTCAACTTCAGGGCAATATAATGGAGTAACCCTAATTTCTTAAACTTTAAAGCTAAGAGAGTTTAGTGTGAAATTTTTCATGCCCTATAACAACTATCAACCCAGACTTTTTTTTTGTTTTGTTTAGTTTTTTTGAGACAGGGTCTCACTATGTAGTTGGAACTCACTATGTAGCGATCCTCCTGCCTCAGCCTCCTGAGTGCTGGGATTACAGGCATGCACCACCACGCCTTGCTAATCCAGACTTTTATATCTGCAAAATTAGCTTTCAAAATTGACAGAGAAATAAAGACTTTCCATGAAGAAGAAATACATGACCACTAAACCACCACTGAAGAAAATACTCAACAAAAACTACTGGACTTAAAAAGGACAGACAGACACCAGTATATTCATAATGGGAGACTTCAATACCCCACCTTCACAATTAAACAGGTCAACCAAACAAAAAAATCAACAAAGAAATATCAGAGTTAAACTATACCATTGAACAAATAGACTTGACAGATATCTACATAGTTTTCCACAGCAACAAAACACAAATTTTTCTCAACAGTGCAGGGAATTTTTTTGTCCAAAATAGACCATATCAGCCAGGTGTGGTGGCGCACACCTGTAATCTCAGCACTCGGGAGGCTGAGGCAGGAGGATTGCTGTGAGTTTGAGACCAGCCTGGGCTACACAGTGAGTTCCAGGTCTCAACTACATAGTGAGACCCTGTCTCAAAAAAAAAAAATTGACCATATCTTAGGCCATAAAGAATGTTTAAATAATACAAAAAAATTTAAATAATCTCCTGTAAACTACTGGGTCAGAGAGAAATGAAGCTAGAAATCAATAGCAAAAGAAGTCACAGAAACCATACAAACCCATGGAGATTAACTAATACACTACTGAATTATCAGTGGATAACAGAAGAAATAAAAACTTTCCAAGAATCAAATAATAATGGAAGTACAACATATTAAAACCTAGGAGAAAATAAAAGCAGTTCTAAAAGAGACATTTATAGTTAAAAGTACATACATAAAAAGGATAGCATGATCACAAATAAATAATCTAGTAGAGCATTTCAAGGTCTTACAAATAAAGCCAATCTGAACCTAATAGAGGAAAGAAATTTAAAAGATCAGAGTGAAATTAATGAAACTGAGAATAATAAAAAAAACTGAGAATAATTTTAAAAAATAGCTGGGTGTTCATTCCATGGTGCACACCTGGAATCCCAGCACTCAAGAGGCTGAGATAGGAGGATTGCAGTGAGTTCAAGGCCAGCCGGAACTATATAGCAAGACCCTGTCTCAAAAAAAAAAAAAAAACAGAGCAAATAATAAAAAAATAAAGGATCAGTGAATCAAAGTTACTTTTTTAAAGGATGGGAAAGGGATGCAGAGACATGGGGAGATAGGAGAGAAGGTAGGGAAAGGGAAAGTAAAAATGATCAAGATGCAATATGTATATGTACTAATTTCCCCATGATGAATGTGTTTACTATGTACTCCACACATATACTAATAAAAAATTTAGAAAAAAAAAGACTAGGAATATTATATAAGTTCATTAAATATTGGCTTTATAGCATATGAATTAATTTTAAATAATACAGTCTTGGTCTTCTTTGTATCTCCATTAAATATTATACAAATTAAGTATTAGGAAGAAATAAGCCATTTGATAAGTTATACTTTTATAATTGGTTGATTTCTTGATAACAGCCATTCTTTGTGGGGTGAGGTGGAATCTCAGAGTTGTTTTCATCTGCATCTCTTGAATGATCTGTGATGTGGAACATTTTTTTCATATATTTACTTGCTGCTGTTACTCTTTTGTCTGAGAAATGTCTGTTCATTTCAGATGCCCATTTTTGAATTGGGTCTTTATATTTGGGGGGGCTGATTGTTTTGAGTTCTTTATATATTCTAGATAGTAGTCCTTTGAGGATAAGCTGGTAAAAATTTTTTCTCACATTGTAGGTTGTCTCTTAGTTCTGTTGATGGTTTCTTTTGCGGTGCAAAAGCTTTTTAATAAGATGAGATCCCAGTTGTTGATTCTTTCTGCAAGTTCCCGTGCTACTGCAGGGTTGTGGGGAGAAAGGAACCCTTCTCCATTGTTGGTGGGAGAGCAGACTGGTGCAACCACTATGGAAATCAATATGGAGATACCTCAAAGAGCTGGGACTAGAGGTTCCACTTGACCCAGCCATCCCTCTGCTGGGTATCTTTCCAAAAGAATTAAAAAAATCATACCAGAGTAATATATGCACATCTATGTTTATAGCAGCACAGTCTGTAATAGCTAAAACTTGGAAACAGCCCATTTGCCCATCAGTTAAGATTGGATAAAGAAGATGTGGTTTTTCTATAAAAGGGAATACTACTCAGTCATAAAGAATGAGAAATTAGACTCATTCATAGGAAAATGGATACATATTGAGGATATACTCCTAAGTGAAATAAATAAGTCACACATGTAAATACTGAATAGTTTCTCTGGTGTGAAAAACTATAATAGTGCACAAGATCCTAATGGGATAATTGACAATGTGAAATGGGAAGAAAAGGGCTAAAGGTGTAGGGAAAGTGGCAAGGGTAGGGGAAAGGTAATAAGGGAAAAAATATGAGAAAATGAAAAAATGGAAACAAAGTATTTTTAAATGGGGAGGAGAGGAGGGGGTGAAGGGAGGGCAGGGACAAGGGGAAAAAATGAGAACCAAGACCTGTCATGTAAAGGTACAAGATCCCAATAATGAATGTAACTGTATTGTATACCTAAAATGTACCAATAAACTCAATAAAAGAAAAAAAATATACAATAGAAATAATGAGGAAAAAATACTGAATTGGCTAGGATAATGTGAATCAAGAAAATATTCTCAAAAACATTTAATAACATCAAGTTGATAGGGAGTCCAATAAAGATACAAATAAAGTTTATACCAACAAACACTACAATCCTCTTGTCTCCTATACTCTAGTTTTTTTTCTCACAAAGCATTTATGAAAAAACCTCTAATTTATTTTCTAATTGTCAGCTAAAAGTTTAAAGATATAAAAGCTGACAACTAGCCAGGTGTGGGGCACATTCCTGTAATCCCAGCACTTGGGAGGTTGGATCATTATGAGTTAGAAGCCAGCATGGGCTATATAGTGAGTTCAAACCCAGCTTGAACTACATAGCGAGATCCTGTCTCAAAAAGTATATAATAATAAAGCTGACAACTATGACTCATCAAGACACAGTGGCAAACACTTGTAATCCCCTCTGCTCAGGAGGATGGAGGCTGAGATTAGATCTCAAATTGGATGATAGCTTCAAGGACATGGCAGGATCCTATCTCAAAATTTTTTTTAAAAGTATACCAAATAAACATATACAGTCACCTAAATATGGAAAACTGAAGATTTAAAAATATTTGCCTTTCAATGTAGTAAAGCATAATTTCAGCATCTTTTGCCCTGCTTGGATCTTCAAGCAGTTCTTCAACAATGCCTTGGTCACCTGTAAATACTGAAAGGATCACCATATCTGAGGTTACTTATTTATAGAAAAAAACACGCATTTTAATACCAACAATTATAGCTTCTGATTTCAAACAATATCAACCTCTTTTTTGGGGGGTGGGGTGGTACCAGGGATCGAACTCAGGACCTTGCATTTGCAAGGCAGGCATCAACACCACTGAGCTAAATCCCCAGCCCACCAACTGGCCTCCCCGTCACTTTCCTCTGTGTTTCAGGCATTTCTCTTTGACAAATCTGATTTTTACCAATAATCTGCCAGCTAGGGAAGGAAGAAACTGAAAGACTAACAGAGAACTAACAGTTTTCTTTAAACTCAGCCTAGGGAAACCTCATTCTTTAAGCTTTCTGGGGAACAATATTTCCCACTATTTGTGCTATTAAAAAAATACAGACAAGCCAGGCATGGTGTTACATACCTATAAACCCAAGTACTTTAGAGGCTAAGGCAGGAGGATCACAAGTTCATAATAGCTGGGGTAATTTAGTAAGACCCTACCACAAAATTTTTTAAAAAGAGAGGAAGTTGGGGGATATTGTTCATTGACAAAGTGCTTGCCTACCATGTAAAAGGCCCTTATTTCAATCTGCAGTGCTGGGGAAAAAATTACACAGATAGATAAACAGATAGTTAGACAGGCAGGCAGGCAGGCAGGCAGACTTGAACCTTTGGTTTTTTTAATTTGGCCCACGAAGTCTTGAAATGAGCTGCTCATATCAGATTTTACCCATGAAGTAAGTGCATCTGAAACAATCTGCAGTCTTTGATAACTACAAAGACAAAAACATCAACAACATACTGAGCCTAAAATCAAATGGTGGAATATGAAAATAAATACAAATAAAATCATCAAACTTTAAAAAGTATACAATCAATTTACATACCAAAACTGTAATTCTTTGTTCAGATTTTCAGCTACATCTCGCCTTTTTAATAACACAATCATTTCCTCATCTAATTCAGCCTTCTTTTGAGCTGGTATATATTTTATTGTCATAGATCGTTTAATTTCTGCATACCTATCTTCAAGATGTTTCATATATTTACTGAGAGCATCTAAACTAACAGATTCATGGAGAGTCATACCTGTGGGGGAAAAAGAAACAATCAAAACAGGTCCAGTGTGATAGTTAACTGTTGTGTCAATTTGAGTAAGAAATACCTAGCTGATTGACATAGTGTAGTTCTGGATGTGTCCAAATAATGGACTAAATGAGGAGGGAAGACCCATCCTGAGTGAGAGTGGCACCAACCAATAGGTTTGTAGCCTGGATAGAATAAATAAACAGAAGAAGGAAGTATCATTTCTGTTTCTTCAGAGAGGCTCAGGTCTTCATCATCATTGCCATTGGACATCCTCACCAGGGTTCCATCACAGACTCCAGCCTTCCAGCTCAGACTCTTCAGCCTTTCAGTGCAGACTTCCTGATACAAACTCGCACAGTGAGCTCCCAGCCTTTAACTTGTACATTCTTTCACACCTGATTCTGCAGATGACTACCGTAAGCCTACCTTGTAAAGCCTTACACATATTATTTAATATATCTTACATTAACTGTGTTCCTCTAGTGAGCACTGACTGATACAACAAGCCACATGCAGGATTTTTATGCCCAAATGGTGTCTTAGAAAGACAGGTCAGACCTTGTTCCTTACTGAATTAAGTATAAAAGCACAAAAGTGAAAGTGGCTAGAAGTTTTAAATATCATCAGTGACAACTCAGAGGAGACTGACTGTTCTGAGATGCATTTGAAAAAATTTAATGATCTCAGCAACATAGTATGAAAACCCTTAAATATATCTTATTCAATAACATGAAGACCCCTGCCTAAAAACTGAGGATTTAACCAACAGATTTTCCTCTAACTTAACCTCCCATTATTCTTCTATGGCTAAGCCTCAGAATAATCAATTTTTTTTCTAACACAAAATTTACAAACACCTGTCAAATCTTTAGTGACCTCTGCCTCTCTCTCTTTCCCCTGTATTCATTATCACACACACACACACACACACACACACACACACACACACACACACACACAGTCAAATGCTCAAATGCCTTCCTTTCTCATCTGGGTTGATTATTGACTTTAAGCCATATCTCAAAATTTCCTCCTTCAGAAGTCCCCCTCGATTAATCCTACTAGATTTTAATCATTCTCTTGTCCAAAATCTTCTCAATGTTTAGTCAATTTAGCAGTTTTTCTGCACTTTCTCATATATGTCTCATTTTGAGTTTGTTAGTCACAATTTTATGATCACTATCCAGTTGTATGTTTGAAAGTAAATCTAATCCCCTCTTTCACCAAATGCAAGATGATCATTCAAACTTAGTTAAAATCCTCTAGGATAGAGCAGCTCCAAGGTATAACTTCTCCCATTAGACTACATCTGGCTTCCTCAAAGTTCCACTTATTGATTTTTCTTAGCACCACCACCACCACAACCAGCTCTACCCATACTGGGAATTGAACCCAGGACTTTCCACTGAGCTACATCAACAGCATGTGTTTTTTGGAGACAGGATCTTGCTAAGTCACTAAACTGGCCAGACTAGGTTTGAAACTGTAGTCCTCTGACCTCAGCCTTGCAGCGCACCGAGATTACAGACATGCACCACCACTCAGCTTAACCAAGTATATTTAAATTTTTAATGCCACTATCTATTCTCAAAGTCTTTATTTTTCCATGGTAAATATTTATCTATACATTCATCACACAAACTTCTTCAAATCCTGGATAAATTCCAGGATATGCTCCAGTTTCTTTTTTTTTTTTTTTTTTTT